GGTTTGGTTGATCCTGCTTTGGCAGGGGGTTGGGCTAGATGGTCTCCAGAGGTCCCTTCCAACCCCGACCAGTCTGGGGTTCTGTGAGAGAATTTCACTGCCTGCAGACACAGCACATTAGCAGGCTTGTTGAGGCTCCTCCAACCTAAAGATCGATACAGTTCAGAAGAGCCTAAAACACCAACTAAAAGATTTATATCATTTATTTGCATGTTCTGTTTTCACACAACTCACTCAAGGGACAGATATTTATGGTAAGGTCTTATTCACCTGAACTCCTGTGTGTCTGTCAGCAATGGGGATAGCCTGAGCGTTTTGCTATCAACCTTCAAGTTGTACTTCAGGATAAGGCATTTCAGCGGAGCAGAAAGCTGCGAGGGCTGTTCCAGGGAAGCCTCGCTCTCAGACCTGCCTGCTGCGCGGCCTGGAAGCCCGCTTGAGTTGCGGAGAGGGCGCAAAGGAGCCAGTATGAAAATAAAATTCTCAGAATTATAAATAGTACAAAAGGAAACGAAGGGCTGGCGCAGCCTGTTCAACGCATCGCGGTGCAGCCCCCCCATCGTAACACACGTGTGTCTCTGCAGAGCAGTCAGGGTCTGCCTGGAGGGCGGCTCCTTTCCGTGCACGGGCAGGGCGTGCAATTCCCTGTGAGCTGAAGTGCCAGGTATCGAACCACACTCCAGTCCCCGGAGCGAAGGGAGAGCCGAGGGAATGGAGCACAACTGCAGCCTCCGAAGCGGAGGACTGGGGATGATGCAACGCTCGCACCAAGAGTCTTTCAGGAAGGAATCATGCCTTTATTCCGCTTTCTGTCAGCCATGACTCGTCGGTTATGGTTAGCTCTTGTGCTTTTGTTTGCTTCCTTCTTCCGTCGTTCCTGCACCGTTTCCCGGTTCTGCCCATGGCCCTTCACGTTCCCGACAACGGCAGAGCTGTCATGCTTGTGCCTGGAGCACACAGAAAAATGACATCACAACAAGCGCACTGCACACTTAGGGGACAAAATATACCGATCCCCAGAAACGACGGTGTGCGAGGAGTTCAGCTGTCAGCCCCTGAGCCTTGGCTCAGCCCAGCTCTGCAGGGCTTCTGCAATAGCCGAGTATCGGCATTAGCCACACAACGCCTGCGTCCTTCTACACGCTGAGTCTGTCAGCTAAGGACAGCTATTAAACTGTCCTGGAATCCCCGTGGGAGCTGTTCAAGCTCTGGGAAGCCGTGCTCTCCAAGATTCTATCTTGCACAGGGTTCTGCTGCTTGTGATAAAGGGACGTGCCACCCATTTGATGGGACGGAACAGCCAGCAGTGAAGTAAAAGTTGGGTGAGGAGGTTACCACCACCGTGGCGGTGACTCTGACACACGGGAATGTAAAGGAACAGGTATAGCCTCAACAATTCCACTCAGCAGCAAAACACCTGCCTACCGCAGAGCCACGGTTTCACCCCGCAGAGGGAGATCCTTACTTACCCCTTCCTCGCAAGGTAAGCCAGGCGCCTGGCTTCAGCTCTCTCCCGCAGCACAGCTGGGTCCTGCACAAAATGGTCCTACCGTGGGAAGGAAGGAAAGAGGTCAGTAAACCCATCAGCATCATGTAAAGGGCTAGAGCAGGAGGTGATTCTGTTGGACCAGAGTCAATTCATTGTTCGTTATCTCTTCTGGCTGAGCCAGCACGATTGGTGTCAGTGACTAAACACAAAACCTGGCAGAAACTTCTTCCCACATCCTACCTCTGCCGGCAACACCATCAACGTCACTATTTCCAGTATATCCACTACGACAGAGCGTTAGTGACCCTCAAAGTGTTCTGCTGACATCATCTGTCTACGGAATAAAGGAGATTAAACCTCTCCACAGAGTAAGTGTCATTGCTCCAGCATGGTTAGCCTAGGAAGCAGCAGATAGCTGTGCTCAGGGGACATTGCACAGTCCAGCAGACCGCAGGAGGAGCTGCTCTGAGAAGCAGCTCAGTGTCCATGCTACTGTTAAAAGATTCACTCTCTGAGAGAGGAAATCTGCTCCACGTCACCTCTGGCAAACACTAGCAGGTGAAACTGATAACAAATATGGTAAATCTTAATGCAACTCCAATCACAAACTAAATGTCACCTTTGCTCTTTCCTTTTCAGCTTCTTCCTCCTCCTCCTCTTCATCTTCTTCCTCTTCCTCCTGTCCTTCCTCCTGTCCTTTAGGTCTCAGGACTTGAGGAATTGTGAAGGGCCTGAGAATTAAGACAGAAATGGTCAGCAGAGGAAAGAGTACAGCCACAAATGTTTCACCAAACACATATCCTATTCGTTTTGCACCACCTCTTTCAAAAATGAGAATCTACAAATTTCATGGACTTGCTTCTTTTTCTGGAAAAAAACCCACAAACCACCCAAAGAAAATAAAAGAGACACAGTAGTTAATGACACAATATCTATGGGCAATTAAACACCAATGTTCTTCACTGGGGAACGTTCACTATGAAGTTGTTACTGAACATAATACTAGTTTAAAAAAAGGGGCAGGTCAGGAAAAACCTGAAACCTCACAAGGAATTTCTCCAAGGAAACAACTGCTTCCTCTGGTCGAAGGGAATCCGGGCACAGCCACGAGGCACTGGTAAGGAGGGGTCTTTGCTAGGCTTAGGCTCACCCGTCAGGGAACGCCTATTGTACAAGGACAAGCCTCAAGCACAAACTCCGACAGAAACATTGATGCTCAGAAAGCGCTGTGCCCTAAAACCTCCAGGACTGGTCAGTGGTTATCCACGGAGCCCCAAATTCATTGCCGTGCCCCAGTTTCATACAGGAGGAAATGCTTGGAGAAATCCATCAAGTTTTATGAATCACCCTGAACACACAGAGCAGCAAAGGGCCTGGGGGGTTAGAGGCAGAATTTAGCACGTGCCTATAGCTCTTCTTTAATATATATGTGTGCGCGTGTGTGTATATATGTGTGTGTGTGCGCGCGCATGTGCTTAAATTCTATTGGAATTCAGATCCACCATTCCACTGTCAAATCTAAAACCAGAAGAGTCTTTGTTACTTCAAACCTATAGATCTAGTTTTCAGCTGTAACATCCACTAATTGTTCCTACTGCCTCCCCAGGAGCGGTGAGCACTGAGCACCTGAAATAGGAGGAAAGACCCGAGTGCCACACTGTTACAGGCAAGCCACAAAAAGGATTTAAACTGAAGCCTCACCATGCTTTAGGGGGCGGGGGGGAAGGCAAAAGGGACAAAGGAACCCCAAAGATGCATTTTGGTTTGAGGTTAGAAACAGTAACATCTTCGTAATGCATCAGAATTTAAAAGGCCACTTTCAAAAATGTTAAACCAGCTTTTAAAAGCAGTTTTTCTATCTCTAGCTTTTATTTCCAAAATAAATATTCTACAACCCCCATCCTAAACTAACCCTTTACTTCCTAAAAGCTAATTGTCTCCAGCAGTCAGTCATTGTGGAGAGTGCAGTGCAATCCATCAGGGACTGAATTCCAGGTGTCAGCACTCCGAGACATCAGAGGGGATTGGCAAGGAGAAGTCTGGCTGTACAGTTTTCCAAATTTTGAAGTTTTCCTTCGCTAACCAGCTGTTTTACGTTGCCCAACTACACTCAATCTTGATTATTCAAGATAGCCCACTTTCCCCCGCTGCAGGGAAGTAGAAGTTTTCTACAAGCAGCAACACTGCAGAGCTTCAAGACAATGGCAAACTCCCCTCTTTTATTTGTTGATTAGTTGAGACAATGGCCATGTCTTGCAGACACAGAAAGTGGCAGCCTGCAAATATTCTGGGCGCATGCCATGGCAACGCTCCCTACTAACAGGGGAGAGACCCAAATCTCCTTCCTTGCACGTTACAGAAAGCAGCAGCAGGAGAAAAAGGGGTTGTCTGAAGCATGCACGTCCTCATTGAGGAACGGAGCCAAAAGCAGCGTTGAACAGGTTTGAGCGAGCTGGACAACTCTAGGTGACGATTCCCATCAACCTCCTATTTGCAGAAGCCACAGCACCTACCTCCGACTGATCAGCTCATCGTCCGAGTCAGCATCATTCGCCCCCACTTGGTTTCCATCGTAAGTGTCATCGTACTCGTCCTCATAGTCCTCCTTGTAGAGCTGAGCTTCTCCTTGCTGCACAGGAATCTCCTCCACAATCACGCTGTACTGGCTGTAGCGCTCCTTCTGCTCAGCAACCAGGCGTTTGTCATTCAGCAAGCTCCTGGTCGTGTCCTTCTCTCTCCTGCACTCCACAGGATGGAAACAGAGAGGCAGACACAAAGGCAGCGTAAAGATTTTCTCTTTAAGTTACTTATTTTCCTGTCAGTAAGTGGAAGCTGAAGGAACAGAAGTCTTATCTCAAACTCCACAAGCACTACTTAAGCCTACCTATTTCCCCTCTGATTTATATGAGCGCCGTTTGCCTGGCTACTAAAAACAGCCACTCCTGGCTTGGAACAAAGTCATTGTTAAACAGAAGCCCAGCAAGATTACACAGCAGATAAGAAGAGGAATTGGAGACTGTCACTGCCATTTGAGACAGAAAGGAAGCTTTTACCGGAGGCCAAATGCAATTATATTCAAGCTGAAATTTGGCCAAGACCCAAATAACACGAGAAGTCCCATGAATCTTGAATGGCGAGCTGTTAGGGCTAAGACTCCAGCCTACGAGACGGCTCTGCAAGGCCCGGAGTGCCCTCTAACACCATGCTGCAGTATTGTCTCACTGCGGTAGCAAGCACAGCTGCAAATCACGGACCAGGGCTGCATTAGAGTAACCACTGCACAGACACGTGTGCTCCTATAGTCAAGGACCTCAGCTTACAAACGTGAGATACAAACCACAAATGTAGATGGGGAGAGCCAAAAAGTTACCAGTGCAGCAAGCAAGGATTAGAATGAGCACAGCTAAGAAAGAGTAGACTAGAAGAACTTGATTGGTTCTTTTCAAAGAACTGCATGTACAATTTTCTTTTAAATTTAGGAGGCAAGTAAATTATAGTGATTTTAAAGAAAGGAAGACCAAGGAATAGAATTTTGACAGAGGTATTAAAAAGCAGCCACTGAGATGCTGTGCCTCAAGCTGCACAAGCATGAGCTCTTTGAAGTCCTGTTTTTCAGACCAGCCAAGTATATGCGTACAGCAAAGCAACAAGGGATTCCACTGTCAAGTATTCACAGGACAACTTGCAGCCCTCAAAGTCTAGGAGGAACACGGATCACGGATCTACGTGACATCTGGATATTATCAGAGAAAGAACCCGTCTGAGGCAGACTGTCAGTGACTCGAGAATGGACCAGACTTACGCGACATACTAGCAAGCAGCAGGGAAGTGATCTAACCAGGCTGATTTTCATTAAGCATCCCAAAACAAAAGGGACGAGGCAGATAGATGCGGTTTCCCCTCTCTGCCATGACTCACACGCCTGCGCTTAGCTGCAAAAGGCGCTACAAAGCACGCGGTTAGTTCGCACATACCTAGGCTGGGATAACATCTTCTGTTGGTATTCAGCATGAGACTGACCTAAGTATTTGATAATTGTTTCCTGTTGAGCTGGTCTGGTGACCGCAGAAGAGCTGCAATGAAGTGTTTCAGGCACCAATTCCAGGAAAAACAGTGGGATAACTCCTCTAGTCCCATGGTGTTCAGGACATGCTCTGACTGCAAGACCCAGATTCAGCTAGCAATTATGGCCGGACAGGCAGAGACAGGCAAGAGCACTTTTCAGGATCAGCAAAGAGTTATGGCTATGTTAGTATATTCATTTCCTCGTGCTCATTCCTCTCCTCATCCTGGTGTGGCTTTCTCCTTCGTGTTAACAGTCAAACTGCTTACGCTTAACCCGCAATGGGACCCAACCTGGTCTGGCTCTTGAAGCGTTATTGCGACATCGTGCTTAGGCAGCAACAGCACTCTAAACACAAGCAGGATTTGGTGAGCAAAAGATTTTAAGGAGAAAGAGAGAGAAAAAAAGATATGTGGATACAATTTGAATCCAAAGCAGATCTCAAACTAGGCTGGGAGAACCTTGTTACCCAGATGCTTGGGTAAAGCATCAGGTTTCTTGCTTGTGGAACAAGGACTACAGAGGAAGTTGCAGTTCTAGTGCTGAAAGGACACACTCTTCCTAACTATGGAGTTCTGAATATTAAATCCTAGAGAGGAAGGTACTGTAGCTTATTGTCTGATTTAGTTAGATATGGTCAACTCGGGCATAGGTGTACATTGCTGATCACAACTAGTTACCTCCAGGTTTTGAAAACCACTCAAAACATAAACAATGTGTCTGGAGTCCTGCAGAGCATTCTCAGTGTGAGAAGAACTGTTCTGGAATGAAGACATAGCCTGAGGGAGGCCAAAAGACACCAGGAGCAGCAGCAGTAACAGGAGGATAATCCCAAGAGGCCACGTAACAGCACAGCAGAAGAGACGACAGCTTTCCCAAGCAGTGGTGTTACCGCTGGAGAGAGGACACGACAGTGGCCGGAGGGTGATGCCATGGGAGCAGGGTCCCACCACCCAGCTCTGGGATGACTTACAGCTTCCAAAGCTCCGTAAGTGATCTGCAGAGGGAGCTCCCAACAGGGTTATTCCACAGGCTGGACACTGTGCTGAACTTGGGCAGTGCTCTCTGGCCTCGTCCGGCTGCTGCAGCAGCCACCCGCACGAGCAAAACTTTGGGGAGGTGGGACATAACCGAGCGCGCCCACGCACAAGGCTCCTGCTGACAAGGTGCCTGAGCAACACGATGAGGAAATGGAGAGAGATCGTGCCTGTGAATTCTTAGCTATGGACACTTCAAAAGTCATTGTCTTGGCCAGAGAGAAAAGAAATTATTTTCTTGCCTAGCTGAGCCAACAGAAGCTCTAGAGCACTGCTGCTGAGAAGTTGTTCAACTGGACTTTGGGAAAAAAGTGGTTTTCTCCGGAGAGTCTGATGCAGCTTTGCAACTAAAAACGTAACCAGGAGCTCCCAGGGTCACGCGGCTCTATCTCCAGCCGGACTTTTATTTACGCTCAGTGTAAATACATACCAACATAAAGATCAGATTCGGCTGGTTAGAGAAAGCGTATAAAAAGGAATGTGAAACCAATCAACCCTGTTAGAGAGATACAGCTGACACCACAGGGAGCCAGGAGGGCAACGTCCTCACCTAAATTTGGACAGAGTGTGGCACAGAACACCACACCAGGCTAGGCAGAAAGCAAAGGAAATGCCCTTCTGCAGGAAGCGTACAGCAGCAGGACCAACAAAAATAGTCTAAGCCAGAGTGTTCTCAGTAGATGGATATTGAAGCTTCACTTGGATCTAAACCAAATCATTATTTATTCTCAGTTCTGAGTCACAATCCCAGGCTCGTAGAGACGGTTCCTTTTCAAGGTTTGTTGTTCAGTACGAGTTTAACATTAAGATGAAGAAGCAGGAGCCCAACGTTACAAATGAGTTTGGCAGAGCAACCTCCAGCAGCATACAGAGGAAAGCCAATTAGGAAAAACACTAACTGAAATCAACCCCCTAATAATATTTCATTTTACTTTCCCAGAGGAACAGAAGAAACAGGTGGGGAAACATTTTTGATAAGCCTTGCCCCCTGCCAACAAATTCCTGCAGGAGGTTTGTACGAGAAATAAATTTGCAGGTTTGCAGATATTTATTCCGCCTGACAGAGATGGGTTAATTAAGGGTGCACGATACTCACCGCTTGCCTTTTTGTATCCGAGAAACATCCACTGAATCCCTACTGAAAACGTCAAACTCATCATTCTGGAAAACATTATAGCGAGAAGTGACTAGAGGAGTAGGGTCTGGCTTCAGCTGCCTGGTAAAAAAAAGAGAATAAAAACAGAGGTGAACTGAGGAAGAACAAGTCCTCTCCTTCCTAAAACCTTGGGTTATTCTTTGTTAGTCTCAGAGTCGCCCACGGCATGCCAAGATCCTCTTTGTGGTGCTGACTGGGTCACAGATTCCTATTCCTTCACTTCACTGCCACGCTATAGTACATGCACAGCCACTACATGGCATTGGTCTAAGATAAAAGGCACCGGGTTGGAAGCTTATCTTTGTGGGGAAACTAAAGCAACTGACAGAAAGCAAAGAGAAAATTCTTCTGTTCATTTAAGAATAAGTAAAACTGTACAGGAGCACGGAATATTCAACAGACTGCCTGGTCTCAAAACAGTGACTCAGTAAAGCCAAACACTAAGTATGATGAATTACATGCTGGAAAAAATTCCAATAATTTGCTGCTGTTGATTTCAGGATATTTATCTCCCTATGGTTCCCTATTAATTCTTTCTCAGGGTTCCAGGTTTACATTTGTTCAACTTATAAGTCAAAAGACGATTATTTTTACATTCATTTTGTTGTGCTGTTAGCTCAGCTGGGCATCTGAAAATGCTGCTGTGCTCACTTCTAAAAATCAGCAGTGATCAAAATTCTACATTTGCTATTGAACTGACAGTTTTGTTTCAAGATGCAAGAGGCAGGGGGGAAAAAAAAATCTAGCCCTATCTTCAGTAACTGCTGGCTTCGCAGAAATAAAGAACCCTTCCAAAAGCCCACCCACATCATTTGTGCCAAAGTCAGCAGATCCGAGTGTGAGAGCATGAAGACTGTTGCAAAACTAAAATTTATTTTTTACATCATTTTTTCTGATAAAGATGCTTTCCTTTTTTAATGCAACAATGAGACAGTCTGCCCGTTCCTCCATGAAATGTGAACAAACAGCACATTCACATCCTGACACTCAGTCAGAAACTGCTGTTGCAGCACAAACACATGCTAGCAGCTGCAGACAAACCAAAACAACTCAATTCCACTGCCAGCTATAAACCCTACACCCCAGTTACAACCCAGAGAAGCAAGCAAAAGCCTGGCAAGTTTGTCAAAGGGTAGATAAAAACGGATCTAAATGGCCATTTCCAATCTCTCTCTAGTTTAACTTCAATGGCAAACCAATAGCCTTTCAAATACTGTATTTGACCCTGCGAGTTGAATTGCAGCTGAATTAGTTCCTTTGAAGACAGGAATCAGTTCCCTTTCCTGCAGGACAGCTGGAGTTTTAACACCTATAACCCTGCCCTCTGCAGCAAAATAACAATACATTCTATTGCCCAGCCCAGGCTAAGCCAATGTCCCCACGATGGAACTTGAATGGTTAACTGAGCATTTAACCTACAAGTATTTTTGTCCTCCCATCACAAAACACAACCCAGCATCTGCTCTACTGAAATGCCGGACAGAGAATGTTCCGGTCCTCTGCGGGGACACGACGAGGGCAGAAAGCTAGTGGTGGAGGGCAATGAGTACCTCTCTCTGCAGCTATCTGCCCCAAGAAAACGCACGTGCAACTTCTCAGAGCTAACAAACGTCTAACCTTCAGTAAGAATGATGTTTAATGATAACCCACAAATGAATAAACAAAAGGCATCGAAGCCATCCCACACCTTGGCATTGTTCGGGCCAGCTTATCCAAGTTTGGCACCAGCTTATCTTCCAGAATGTTGTTGATCACTTGCTCGGCGTTGTAACTGTACTCTTCCAGGCAGGCCAGGATGAAGCCCTCCCCAAGGTCTGGCAGCAGGTCTTTCACTTGCGAGATCAGAGAGTCCAGCTCCACCCCTGACACCTTGGCAATGGGCGCAGCAGCTGCGCCGGCACACTGCACGTACCAAACAGAATGGGTGGCGTTACTGGAAAGAGACAGCAGCTGAGGGCAGGCAGGGATGCAGGTTAAGAAAGGGAAAGGAGCCGTCTGGGTTGTTGGAATTTCAACGCAAGTAAGTCAAAAGATGAGAAATTGGTTAAGGTGTTTATAGTACACAAGGGCTATGACACAGACTTGGGCACAAAACTACTTTTGTCTGTCCCCGAGTCAACAAGGATACTCTGGAGAATCCCTTCCTCCAATAACATCGGAACTGTGCATTTATAAAATATGCACATGAACTACAGTGATGAAGCATTTGAATAAATCACTACAGTGACAAAGCACAGTATTTGAATAAACCACAGCAACAGGAAACCCAAGCCAACAGGAGTTAGAAGCAATTTGCGCAAAGATAAAGCTGGGATTCAGTTGTAGCTTCGTTTCTCATTTCACAAGGCACACGGGGCTGCACTGAAATCTAGCAAAGGGAAGAACTGGGACTAAATCTCATGTAATCCCAAAAACCAATCCAAAGAAATCCTCTCCCCACAGACAGATGAAGTTAAGGACAGAAGGAGCAGAACCCAGTCCTACCCACACAGCTCTACTCACCTCATCCTCTGACGCATAAGCAGCCCTGAGCTCTTCCACCTCCTCAGCAGCGCTCTCCACTATTGCTGACGCTCCATTAGATGCTGCCGGTGGTGGTGTTGGATCTGTAACGACTTGTGGTTTTTTCCTGTCTACCCCTTCCCACGCACTTTCCACTGCTTGGAGGATATAGGCTGTCCTGGTCTCGTCTCTAAGAGGACAGCATTAAGGACATTTCTAGGTGCACGTATTCAGACCTCGCCTTGAGGCAACCATGCAATTTTCAGCGACTCCCAAGCCCATGCCTACATTAACATTCCCCCCTTTCTTTTTTTAAGGGAAAAACTTTCCATCACTCACTGCCAGTCATGCAACACTGGAAATGCCACTGGCGTGAAGGAATCGAAGAGCAGCCAGGTCTGCAAAACCTCAAGGTGACAGCAAAGGATACAGCGTGGAGGATGCTTGCTGAAGCAGACTGACATCATCCTCAACAGGAAACAGCTCATCATAGTCACGGAGAAATCTGAAAACGCAGAAGCAAGTTTAATCAGCGGAACTCAAGAATAAATTACCAGCAGACTTGTCACGCTACCATCCCTGCGATGCCACTCAGACTTCCTCACGGTTCAGATGGGAAGGCATACAGCCTCTCGCCCAATGCCGAATTCCGTGCGCGTGGCCATGGCTGATTTTGCCCCCCGTTATACTGCAGCAACACTCCTCCCCAAGCCAGAGCCAGCTACAACGCTTCTCATGATGCCGAGACTTGGATCCCAGTGCCGCATTACAGAGAAAATATGGTTTATGACTTTAACACGATCAGAACGACAGCGTGGTCAGGAGGACAAGATCGAATTCCCAGTTCTGCCACTTATTCAGTTTGCATCTTCAGCATTAGCACTTAATACCTTTCTGGTCTGGGCATCCCAGTTGAAAAGCACAGATTAGTAATAATAGCCTAACTTGTCAAGGTAGCTAATGGCTAAATTGCTATCCTCCGCTTTGAAAGCCTGGATTAAAGAGAGTGAAGAATAACATTCTCCAGCGTCACGCAACATCCTCCTCACCTTTACAATAAAGTCAGTACTGCAGTCTGAAATCCTCTCACAGCAGTTCTCCCAACTAGTTAGAATGATTTCTAACTCCCAAATGCATTGTAACGCCTCATAATAATGTCTCGGGCAATTCTGCTATAAAGAATGGAAGAGGAAGGCGAGCTGACCCTCCCCTTGGGCCTCTTTCAGCCAGACTCACCTCCTTTCCTGAAGCACCGACGTGAAGATCTGTAGAAATTCTTCAATAAAAGGCTGAATGTTCTCACAGCTGCAGAAAACAATGGCACAAGAGAGTGAAAAAACTCTGTGGTAAGCCTACTGCATCATGCAATCGCACATTCTGCCTCACTAGCCAAACTAGTCACATTCATACATAGAGGGGAAAATCCCATTTGAAAACAGATTTCAGTCCATTTTTTTGGCTTTGATAGGAGCAAAAGGTCAAATGGAAACAAGTTTCTTTTGTGGCTTCAGCAAACATTTCAGCCAGCTAGATCTAAAGCTGTATCACAGTTAGAATTACAGGACTTCTGACAGACTTCACAAATCATAGTTTGATGCCTCAGACTTGCAATAAGCAGAAAAGGGCGTGTAGCGCTTTTGTAATTGTGCTCTTATTATATGCCTTGGGATTATACCAGTGAACCTCCCAGAAAATATGTGCTCACCTATGTAGGAACACATGCCAAACAAACTCCTATTGCAACTTTTCTGGTCGAACACCCAAACCTCCCATTGCTGCTGGTATTTCCCTAGAAGCCGGACACATCATTTTCACAGTAGACAACTCTCGTCAAACTGGCCATGAGCTGTCCTGTACCACCTCTGAAGCATATGTAGTCCTTCGTACTGCGGAACCTGAACACGTTACACTCTTTGGTTCATTTACGCTTTCAATATTGTGGTGGGTGCTGAAAGGCAATCCTCAGGTAAGCGAGGGTAAGGCAAGGCTGCTATTGCTCCTGTAAGGATTGGATTTACAGCTCAGACAGGTTGGGTAATAAGAGTCTGGGTCAGAGGAAGTCAAAGAAGCAAATCCAGGTCTCTTGTAAGGAATTCCACCAATCCTCCCCTCCTCATCTTCTCGGACAACTCTACTGATATCAAACCAGTGAAAATATTCAAGCGGAATGGGAGCCACAAACACCAGCAGTCTGCAAAACCTGCAGTGAGTAGAGGCAAGGAGAGACCGGCCCAAGGGAGCACCAGCCTTGCCTGCAATCAAGATCCAAGTTCTCCAGGCCCAAGATGCATCATGATTTTAAGTCATTTCACTTCATTTCTCTATTTCAAAATAAGGAGAGTTATACTTGCCTTCATTTTGAGATTACTCACAAAGCTATCAGTTAACAATTTTCAGAATAGGAGGTGGGGGGGAGAAGAACTAGGTAAAGGCACCAGTCTCTAGATTTAAAATGACTGTTTTCAGCGATCTATAACACTGCATCGCTTTTACTATGGTGCCTCAGTCGAGGTGTCTACACACAGCATTAGAATTTGCAACTTAGCTATAAACCGAGGTGAGAAAGCTCGTTGGACCACAGCCCGCTCCCAGTTTAGCGAGGTCAACACATGGCTCACCACCCCAGTTCTGGATCGTACAGCTTCATCTGGGACGTTCCTGCTACGCAGGACAACAGACTTCTGATCTTAGCCAAAGACTTTGGCTCCAACCCCAACACAAATAGCAGCATCCGTTCATTTTCTCCGGTAAATCGGAAAATGAGGAAACAATCTCCCCCACAACGGCAATCAAATAACTGGCTAGTACCACAGAGCCCAAGTGCCAATACCTGCTTTCTAAGATGGGCTGCAGACAGACTTGGTTTATTAGGATGTGGAAAGCTTCTATCATCTTCTTCCTGGAATGTGAAATTCTCCTCCACAGATCAGCAAAAACACTTCAGAGAGAGTAAAAGAACACACTGTTGGTGTCAGCACAAGAAATCTGAATCTTTAACACACCTTCACTCCAGAGTTATCCCTCCAGAAGGAGAATTTCATTAGCAGAATAATTTTTTTCTGCTGCAAGGACAAGAGATTAGAGCCATTTCATACTGCTTAAGGAAAAATCCATGCTCTAAACAACGTTGGTCTCAATCACCAATTGTTCCGACAGCTAGACACATGATATCTCAACTGTACCAGCACAGTCTGTGCCTTAAAATGAGACCAATCTATACATAGAGATATCATTCATTTTTTTCCACACTTTGTTACAATTTGAATGCATCTCTCATCAAGTTTCTTCTTAGAGAGCGGTGAAAGAAATCATTAGTCACCCCACTGCCCAGGAAAATTTGGAATTAGAAAAGCCATCTCTTCAGAGTTCTTTGAAGCAGCATTAAAAAAAAAAATAATAGAAAGACTCCACAGAGGTGGGTAAAGCAGCATGAAGTGAATTTTTAACTAAGCCCTGGGAGAGTCTTATTGAAAAGAAAAGGCAAGCCTTTGCAGACATTTTCACCTGTTATCCTCATAATGCCTCTTCTTAATTGCAGATTCCAGCTCAGGAATTGCCAATTCATAAAATGAAGCTAATCTGTAGAAAGGGGCAACAAAACAGTAATTGTCAACTGAGGTTTCAAAAATAATTTGCTAAAAAGACAAATCAAATGGTTAATTTCATTAAGTTCTCCTCACTAGCAGCAGTCATTAGCATTACCCCATCTTGTTATTTGTTCCCTGAAACACAAGCAAGCAAATACGCAATAGCGAAAGAGCAGCACTCTAAGGAAACCATCGAGGTGTCTTTGAAGATGTACGCAAAGAAACGCATTTGAAAAGCATCATGCTTCACGAACAGAACAATCTGCCCAACCGAGAAACATCCCAAACACAAATCTGCAGTCTGCAAAGAGCTGATCTGCTTGAGCCCCTCCCGAAACACCCCCTCCCACCCCAGTATCCCTACGGCCCTATCTTGCTGTGTGCTAAAACTGGATTACGAAACAGGATATGATTTCCAACAAAGTCTTACTGGTCTTGCTATTCAGCTCTGCTCTAGGTGGGCATTTAGATGAAGGCATCCAATATGCAGAAAGCCTAAGAGGATGTTTCAGTAGGATGGGGCAGGGAGGAAACAAAGAAAGTTAGTTTGGTCCAGTTTCACAATTTACGTGCCAGGCAGCCCACACAGACCCTCTCCTTCAGGGACAGAGCACCAAGAGATGCAGAGAAACACCCGCACAGAATAACAGCCAGTACCGCTTCCCCAGTAGCGAGACGTTAGGAATAATGGTTTACAGCATTTTGCACAAAAGCCAAGCCTGCTGCGCCGAGGAGCAGAGGCTCCATTAGGAACATTATGTCCGTGTCTCACACTAAGAGCCAAACGAGTTAAATGAGTATCCTTGAGGCAACTGTAGCAGAAGCTGGTTGATACTTTGAGTCAGGGAGAGAAATTAGCAAGTGCCAGCTGATTGATTCAGACTTGCAGAGGTTCCAAGAAGAAGACACGTAAATCAGTTTTCCCTCCCCACACTCCAAAGACCCAGCCATTAGACCATAATGAGAAGTAATGAAAATGTTGCCGTCGTCCCACTGCACAGAGATCAAGCCTATTTTAGCACATCTCTGACATCAACAGAATTAAAAGCAAAAGGCTTTCCTCCTCTGAGTAACCAAGCATGTAAGCAGCGCTGCTTGCCAACCCAAACAGCCACCAGCAGTCCACCAAACTGCTCTTCTTTCAATAACCAACTCAACGACAACATCCAAAGAGGACAGAAACCTACACACCCCAGAGCAGCGTTACTCAACCTGTGGTCCATAAACCACTGGCAGCTGTAAGGCTTCTGAGGTTTGCAACCTGATTGGAAACAAAAGCAAAACACAAGCGTGTGTTCCTTCACACTAACAAGCAAACAAAACGGGAAATGAGGACACTAAATTAACACTGCAGTTGGTTCTCAATGCAGGCTGTTACAGCAAGGCTCTACAAGATGATCTGGGGACTTCAAACTCCTGGAGCAAGACAGGTCAAGTGCCACTCAAAGACTTGCAGCCCCTGTGGGAACACACTCTGCTGTCCGGTCCGTGAGACCCCCCCGACTCATCACCACTGTGATCCGGAGCTGGACAGGGAATCAGCTGTCAGCCCAGCTGCGACAGTGCTGGCTCGTCATCCTCGCCCAGGCACTCAGCTTTTGCCAAAATCAGTAATATTCTCTAGCATACAACTTAATGATAACATCAAACAAAAACGTGGTTTGTTTTTTTTTTTTCCCAGACCCTGATGGACTACCACTCCATAAGACTTTCTACCTCCTTCGCTTCAGGTCCTACGGCAGGAAGCTCTTTTTGCCCTCAACTCTCTTCTGCTCGTCCCTCCCCACCTTTTCCAAAGCACACCGGGTACTGTTTACTGTCATGGTTGCCTGGCTCTAGGATCCAGATAATGATCAAGGTGAAACGCAACAGACAAACTCTAGACCTCCCTATATTCATTTATTCACTGGGACTCTCCGTATTCCTGTCAGTGTGAGCCTAGCAGTCTCTAGTTGCATTAAATCTGTCAACTCTTTCAATGATGAAGGCACCGGGACAGGACACAGCAGCACATTCGGTATTTTTACTTCACCAAGACAAGCTCTGTCTGCAGTCAGAGATGTACCTGTAGCAAAACTCATGTTTTTGGAAGGTCTGGCAAGCCAATGGGAAGACATCAAGAAACGCCCAGATTGTTGTGCAAGTGTCGCATAAGTACAGCACAATATCCTTCAGCTCCTGGGAGAGAAAGAGCAATTACTGCAAGAAAAGCCAGACAAGTTTTAGAATAACCCACTACCAGGGACACGTCATGTTCAGATCAAGCCTTTTTCCTGACTGCACAAAGTCTGCTATCAATCATAAATACATTACACATGACTGAGTCTAGAGGCAGAGACAATCTCTCTACTAAAGCTTCTATCCTTTAAACATCTATAATGCAATCCCAACTGCTCACTCTCATGAAAGATTCTGGGGAATTAGAAGAATCCTCATCAGATCGTGTTTTGGACAGCGGCTTTGCCCTCTATATAACCTCCACATACAGTATTCTTCCCTATCTATCTGGAAGCACTGCATAGCAGTAATACAGGAATTAAAGGGATGATTCGGTGGTCCGTTTCAGTGCCAGATGCTGTAACAACTCCCACGAACAGACCGTATGACTAAGATTTTGTAGAAGACCGTGCTCACTGAGATGGGGCCTGTCTTTGCAAAGGACCCAGCACAAAACAAATCCCCTCTTAATTAACTAGAGTTAAAGTACACTGTTGTTAAACATTTCTGAAGAAAAGATCAACTCTGACCGCTGTCAGGGTTACGTGGGGACTTCTGTCAGACACTTCATTACGTTACATATAAGCTGGTTAAGCAAAAAAAAGTCAGGTTTTAAAAGAACCCACACTACAATGGATATGGTTGAAACACACATGAGCAAAGCAACCAACTCATGGTGGCAAGGCTTTATCAGCAAGTCATATGACAAACAGTGACATGGAACCACGTGCTGTATGAGCCACCAGTATTTGGGAACACAATGACCCTCTGTGGTCTCGCTGCTCCACGGAGCATTCAGTCTGCAGGACTACAAACAGAAACACGCAAGGAGCAACAGTTCTACCTGGAGGGGCATGTTCCCCGGAGTCACGTTTACTCTTTCTTCCAGTTTCTGGGGTTCAGCAGAGGCTCCTTAACACTGGCAGCCGGCTCCTTCACACTGCAAGCCACATTTATGCAAAATATTGTTGAACACCTAGATCAAGAAAACAGGACAGCGTTAAAACAGATGGGGGAAAGCAGTGGGACATGCTTTATCGCGTTAACAATCACTGCCACGATCACATATGCAATATGGGACTATTTCCATACAGCACGGAGGTGTGTAAGGTGAAAGCTGCAACAGACTCTCGCAGGTTACAGCAGGAAGGGTTGCGTTGCGTTTCCGAAACTCCCTGCGACTCGCGAACAACGCGAGTGCAGCTGCACGCGGTGGTGGTAAGAGGGGGACTGCAGCTAACCCAAACACTTCACTATGCGAGAAAAATCAGACAGCAAGGTTGACACGGGGAAGGGACTCGGGATCCAACTAGCCCTATTTGCAGGGGAGTAGTGGCACAACTGGGAATTTAACCCCACCTCCTGCCTATGAACTAATCCCAAAGCCCTTCCTGCCTTCTGCCCTGAGGTTAGCAGGGCAGATTTTGTGGGTCATCTTTATAAACAAAGAATCTGGGGAGCAGCCGACCGAATTAGGTTGCGGATCGCTAACAACCTTTGCTGTAGGACCAATTTAAAAACAACTCCTCTACATTTGTACCTTAGGAGACTTGCCAAACTCTCCTTCTAGACATGTTCATGGGTGGTTAAAGGTACCAAAATTGCATCCTTGGGGTTAACATTACTATTCTACAGGGCATGTAAGCTCCTAAACCCGCACCTGTATCGACGCCTTTCAGAAACAGTGCGAGCACATAAATAGCTTTATGGATCAGTAACGACACATCTTTGAGCTGTTACAGCCATATACTTGAGATACACTGGTATCACTCTGCAACAGTTACCAACACACACAGTAAAGAAACCAGTGCTCTGCAGAGAAACTGCTCTGATGTGGTACCTCACAAAATGCAAATGGGATCTCTGCTCTCATCCCCAGTAATTCATTTGAAGGTTTGGTCTTCCATCCTAGAATATTTTTTAAAGTTATATCACCTCTGAGATTTAGCTCTAACAGTTTCTTAACACACAGGAAGAAAGAAGAATGTGGGCTTTCAAAAAGACAGGTGACATTATAGGTGTCTTGGGGCAAACTGTATCTTGGGTTTGTTTATTTTTGTGCATAGATGAGCTTTTTGAGGACATAAAGATGACATTTTCAGGGTACAAAGATGTCAAGGCACCTTGATTTCCCCCTCAGGTTAAATGTGAATCCTGCTTACCGAGTCCGGGGAGTATACAAGCTGCTTATAAAACTGAAAGCTTAGACACGGAGAGGTGCCAAATACCTTTTGCACAGCAACAATGCATCCCTTCCAACGGATTTTCACTTACTCCCAAGAACCTGCAGCATTAACGCTAACCCATTCCACTGTGTCAAGTCTTAGCTACCTCTCACAGTCTCTGTTTTGTTGTTTTAAGTTTCAACGCTTCCCCTGCTTGTGAGGGCAAACAAAGACTAGGTTTTGAACTGCCTAATGAAAATTCCTTGAGATTAACTGCAGAGAAGGCCAGAAGCTGAAGGAAGGTCACAGGAAACAGTCATCAAGTAATAGTTTTAGATTCAAAACCACCCTGACACACGTTAGCGTAAGCTAGAGAAAGTAAACAATAGCAAATAAATTCAGCTTGCCTATGACCACATTTGCTCCCTTCCACCCTCTGAACTATGCCACGCTTCCGGAAGAAACCCGCGCCCTGGGCCAAGCAGGAAAGCAGTACCTGGAGGACAGTGGGCAGAGTTTCGTCTAGGTCACTGAAGTAACTCGGTTGCTGAGTGAAGATATTTTCTAAGGAGAGAGAGGACCATCTCCCATTAGTTCAGACATTCATGCCAACAAGCAAATTTGCACCAGAAGATGCCCTTGTATTGTTACCGGCTCCCCCACCCCTTCAGGCAGAGCTAATAACCATTTAGGACACGGGCACAGACTGACTTCTCAGCTCATGCGCAGTGCCTGCGCCTATACAGCCGGCCCATCGACTCTTCGGTGCAGCTGGAGAGCTGGTAATGAGAATATGCTCATCAGAGCAGAGCAAACGAGATGTTAGATGATTCACGCCCCAGAGGCCGAATCAATGAATAATGCAAATACTATCGCTAAACATTCCTAGTTCCTTTATTTGACAACTGGAGTTGACTTTTAATTACTGATAACAGTTCAGCATACACTGGAAAATGTTCGGCAGAATATTTCTTAAAGGTAATGAGGCTTTAGTAATACCTGCTATTATATTACTAGGACTTCACTGTCTTTACAAAATACTCCACTGAGTAACGGCGTACCATAAATCCTCACCAAGTAAGCACAGAGGCTGCCTATTTTCCTGTGAATTACTGTTCAGACTATGAAAATTAAGAGTTCTCCAGCATGGATAGAGCACAGGTAAGAGTTATGGGACAGATTTCAGAAAAATTTATCCCCCCCCGAGACGAACCTAAAAGTTATGAATTACACACCAGAACTGCTCATGCCATTACTGTAACAACACAGTGCAAATAATCAAGTAAGCAAATCATTGGTTACTTGCACACAGCGTTATCACATTGCACTCTGAAGCCTATGTATAATTCAAATGAGGTTTCATAGACTCGGGTCATCTTCAGAATATTTTAAGACCCAGATAATCTAAGCTTCACATCTGAAAGAGAACCATCTATCTTCTCATGCCTCCTTCCCACTCTGAGGCTTGGCAGATGAATTTAGAGTGGAAGTTACTGAAAAAGGATAAAGGGATTCAGAAATGCAAAGGTTTATCTAAGCTCTTCTGGCCTGGAAATTTGGCTGCATCACATGATCTCTAATTCTTCTTACGTTAGTAAACTTGGAAATGAGACAAAAATAACTACCAAAGAAAGGGAAGAGTTTCATTACACGAACTGCAGATGAAGCGGGTTAGAATTTAGGAAGAAGAGCTCACTTAATCCAAAGTTAGGTACACTTCCATCTGTGCTCAGGTGGATGTTAAAGATCACAGGTAGCTCCCTTGTGAAAAGAGCACAGGATAAACACAGAAGCTAAACCAATATGCCCTCCCTTCAGTACGTGGGTCATAGCATCCAAGGCTGAGATGTTGCTTAATATGCGCTTGCCACAAGACTGTACAGATACAGAGAAATCTAGGGATAAGCAGAGCTTGAGCAACACTCTGAAGTGCTTTGTGGTTTGAAGGCACCATATAAATCAATATCTGCATTGAAATGTCAAGTTCTCCCACTTCACAGACCAGTGATTACCTTTCGCTTAGCTCCTAGCTCTGGGAACAAAGGCACTCATGAGCAGTCAGACTGTGCTCCACCTTCTAATCCTCCTCCCTCCTTGCCCAGGAATCGAGCTGTTTGCCCCTTCCCATCTCTACCAGGGTTTTACAGAGCCCTCACTGTCCTCTCGCAGTGGCTGAGGACACATTTAATTGGTGTGGGAAACAACTGGTCAAGCATAACTGAGCCTTGGTTCAGGCCTAACGCCATGAACCCAGCTCAGGAAAGCTAAGCAGCAGGCCACAATGCATTCCTTGACATAAATGAAGTTCACAAGAAAAAAGAGAAAAAAGAATTAATCTGATCTAGAAATTGATCTAGAAATTATAGATTCTAGTTGCTACCGAACAATTTGTTTTCAGAGCAGTAACACTGGTACAAAACCTCACTCATCATTTGCCATTATATGAGTAAGCAAAAGCCTAAGTGAGACAAGCTGTTCCTTGGCTTAACTAACCGATCATCTTCTGGAGCAGGAGACCGTTTCCTTTTCCAAAAAGCACACAGAGATCCAGAATCTTGGGGATGTCGAACAGGAAGTTATTGTAAATAATTTCTCCAAAGACAGAGGGAGTGATAAAATGATCCTATACAGAAGGGGGGGAAAAAAAAAAGTAATTTAAAGGATAATCCATATCTGACTCTGCAGCATTATAATAACACCTGTACAAACATCTCTCAAAGCTGTATTTAGGATTTTGTTTCCTAGAAGGCAGCAACTCTGCTTACACCAGTTCCTCACGTCCCCACCACTACACTATCCACCCCCCCGGCCGCACCACGAAATGAACCAACCAACCTAAAAGTTAAAACAAAAAAGTACGTACAGTTCATTCAGTTCCCAGACCTGGCTCACTACACGGCCAAATAAACAGCTGAGCTGACACAAGAATGGCTCAGCAAAGTAGCAGGAAAGAGCAGCCAGGCATAGGAACAACTTAACTGGCACTGACACTGAAAAAAAAATACATGTGAGATCACAGTCTGAGGTTATTGTACCCTGGAAGACTAGAATCAAGGCACCACAGGCGACTGCATCAGTGATAGGTAGGAAAGAAACCCAGGAACCGCAGCTCTATACCCTGACTGCTAGAACGCTGTGTCAAAACACACACGACTTCTAACATTGCAGGAATTTCTTCCAAAATTCTAGATGACAAAAATTCCACTGTCTTTAACGCTGAGAAGCAAGCAAGCTAAAATGTGATTTTGGATTTTCAAAAGACAAATTTGCTTACGATAGCAAATGTTTTCAGTCACAGTGAAAGGCAGTACGCGCATTCCCCTGCTAAAGCAGAGGGACGGGGCTTTTTGCCGGATTCAGTTTCCAGAAGTCCTGCTGACTGCCTGCACGACAACAGACTATTCATTCGCTTCAAACTACTCAACTATAAAATGGTTTCAAATGCTTGTCTGCCTCATTAGAGCAGTAAGACTTAATCAGATCCTGGAATGAAAGACACCATAGAGGTGTCATATTTTTGCTGTAGTGGTGCCAGCCGCAGGCTCCAGCATTCCTTCTGCCTGTTCCTGCCCCAGTCCTGCGACTCCCACTCCAAGACCCTTCCTCAAAACATCCTGAATGTCACCGTTGTGATAATCAAATCAGTACATCACTAAATAACACATTGTGAACCGGTGAGGATATCAAGGGCATAATTGCTAAAACACAAGGTGCCTCACTCGTCCTGCCCAAATGCCCTGTGAAAATTCCACAGCTGCTGATGGGAGCTGCACTCACACAATTAGGGTCGAGTATGTCTTTCAATTATCATGCCAAGAAAACAGTAATTTAAAGCAATTTCACTGTGTGCCCAAAACTTGGGGAAAGTTCAAGGAGAGACAAGTATTAGCAAGGACTACGCAACACGCTGCAGAGGAAGTGGCGTTGAGGGAGTGAATGCTCGGCTGCTGGTGGCCTGAAGAGCCCCTGTTCCATGCAGCCCTACAAAGCCCAGCTTGCTCTTTGTTCTCTGACAGGGATGTATCATAACACCACCCATGGCTAACCTGCTATTACTTAGTCGATCTCCTTCCTAAGGAATCATTGCATGGTTCAGATAAGAGCTCAGAGCTGAAGCATCCCATCCATACGGAGAAACAGATGAAAACAGCCAGGGAGAGGAATGCAGTTGGACGTGCAAGAAACACGATTAATTTCTCCAACTGTCTTTTTCCCTAAGCTATACAGCCTGGAGCACCTGCAAGGCAAAGAAATATTTACCTTGGACTCCTTGTGAGTGGACATTCTGAGGAAAGTCAGGAAGACGCTCCGATGAAGGCGTTTCTGCATGTCGTTCACCTCTGGATGACAATCTAACAACGCATCGAACTTGCGAGGGGCATTGCACAGGTAGGAATCCAAACATTTCTGAAGTGTCTCATCAAATATTACCTTGCACCACAACAATAGACAAGAAAATGGAAAGAAGGGAATGGCACATGTTCATAGGTCGCGCTCATGGGCAACCCAGTTAAATTTAAAAACAATCCAGAACACTCAAGAGTGCTAAAAGGATTCACACATGCATCAAATACAAGCAAACTCTTAAAATCCACAATGAAAAATCTATAGGGAAAG